GGGATGCTTAGGATATTCATTACAGTACTTAAAATACCATGATGATAATTATTGTCTTTTAAGTACTGTGATGACTACCCTAAGCATCACAGTGTTTTAAAGACCGTGGTGCTTGAAAAGCTACTAGAAATCTTAAGCATCACGGTCTTTGAAATACGGTGATGCTTATGGTCTTTTAGGTACCATGATGTCTACCTAACCATCACATTATTTAAAGACCGTGATGCCTGAGATTTCCAGTAGCAAGTGTTACGGTCTTATAAGTACTGTGATGCTTTAAGGAGTCATCACAGTACTTAAAAGACCATGATGATTGAAAAGCTGCTGAAAACCATTTCAAGTAGCTTAATTAAAATATATATTAACATATTTAGCTACTAAACCCACTATTAACATATAGCATGCTCCAAGGGGAATATAGTTACTCACGGGGATTTTGTTTAATTTGAAATCTTTGGATCCATATAAGTATTACTAAATGATTATTTTCAAAAAATTAGATTTTACAAGGTTCTTAAGCATCAAGTCACTTTAAAAACAGTGATGCTTAAAATTTAGAAGGCAAAAAGGCTTGAAGGTTGGGAAATTTCCACATTTTGGGGGGGAGAGAGAGTACAAACTACAAAATTATTTATAACATTGAAACCAACAGCTTTAAAGATCACAAAATTGAACCAAACACACCTTGACAGGCATATCAATTGGCACTACTGGCTTCTTTATATCATGAAATATACTGAAACAAAAAGGCATATCAACAAGCACTACTGGCCTCTGGTACTACATGAATTTCATATACTTAATTTACATGTTTTCCAATTATGCTCCACAACCGCACAACGGTTACACTTAAGAGGCCTTATATCTTTGTACTTTGTTTGTCTGTGTCGTTTCTTTGGCCGACCCGTGCTTCGCCTTACAATTGGTTACAATACTATTGTATAAACAATCTCTGGTAACTCAAGATCATCAGACATAAGGTTGAAAGGTAGGGAATATGCTCTATGGTACATATCCACTGCGAAATAAATACCGTAAAATTATATAACATCTTGATGCCTATGATCTATAATGGCGATTGCATAATTGCAGGGCAACCTAATAACTTGCCACACCTGATAACCTGTCACACCCGACTGCTACATGTATGTGTTGTCAGATTAACAACATATTTTTTATCTGCATTGATCTTATACATGACATCATGTGGCCATATAACCGTATGAAGGAATCTGGACTTATTTCTCCTCTTGTCTATTACCTCTTGAGCCTTTGGTGTAAGCACACTGCTCCATTCTAGGGACATGGTCATCTTCTTATAAAATTCGCCCATGTGCTTAACCTTTAGGCATTTAAGGAGTTTAATGATGGGATTTTCCCGAGCCTTTAATAACTACTTGTTATATGATTCGGAGATGTTCGATGTCAAATGATTGTATCTACACCTCCAAAAATATGCGTCTGCCTTTTATTTCAAATGTTGTATCATGATCCAGTCATAGGCCTTAACACTTATATTCTTAATCTTTGTTATGTACTCCTCGAACATTGATACAGACAATGCATGTGCAGGTTTCCAATAAAATCTTGTGAGCGCCGAATTTCTAAAGGCTTTTTTTATGTTCTCGGAAAGGTGACATATACAATACCCTTGCTCAGTGGTTGGGAATACTTCTTCAATTGTGGCTTGCAACCTTTCTGGCGATCTGAGACAATAAACAATACTGGCAAATCAGGCCTCTCATCAAACTGCTCATTAAAAAGCTCTAGAAACCAAGTCCAAATTGGTGTATTTTCACTCTCAACTATTACATAGGCTATGGGAAATATATTTTTATTTGTATCTACCACAACTGTTTGATACATACATAGCAATGGGAGTAGACCCTTCTAGCATATTTGCAATGTCGTCATCATCGCCAATACGTTCCATATTCCTGTTACCAAGTAACTCTGAGTCACTATACCTAATAATCATGGTACTTGGGGCAATTTGTTACTTTTGACAAGTGAGTCTTTAGTTGGTCGAAGGATGGGATCCCCTTAAAAAATATAACCTTCAGGTTCCCACCATCATAGAAAATATGACCATCCTTAGAATTCCTCTTGAAAGAACCACCAAAATGTAAAGCGATTTTCACTCTGTCATCACCCATTATTGATGCATACAAGCCCAATCACTATTGAGATCTCTAATTTTAGATGGAAACAAATATGAAATAAATATATTTGGGATCAATAACACATTAGAAGATAGCAATGCATGAGTAAAGGTTTCAAAATATTTATATATAATGAGAAGGTTGCATTACAAATGGACATTACATTATACAGATGCCACAATATAAATACATATCTAAGACTTATTTATGCTATATTTTAAAGAAAAAAAATTCCAATGTTAATCCAACAACATCAAGGACAATAGAAAAAACTACTTCATACAAAATGTTGCCTTCGCACATTCAAGGGAATATAATTCAAAGCTTGACGTGTTTGATGACATACCTGTAAAATGGTGTTGGTGTGTATATTTGATGCGCATAGATTGGGAAATAATTCTCAGAGACCTCGATCAAAGATTGAGAAATAGCTCTCAAAAACTTTGGTCAGAGATTGAGAAATAGAAGATGAGGATATCAAATGGATGAGAGAGATTAGAGAGAGAGAATAAGGAAGAGAGAGAGAGGAGGATAAGGAAGAGAGAAGTGGGGTTGGAGAGAGTGGGATGGGAAGATATGGTTTTAGGAAGGAAAAAATTGTGTAAGGAAAGATAAAAGCATGAGAAGGAGGATTTTAAAAATAATCATGATAGTTTTTTTATCGTTATTAATGTGCAATTTTATTACGGTAAAATATGTTAAATTCATCACGGTACTTAAAGTATTGTGATGCCTCAAGATATCACCATTTCAAATATATGCCTTATAAGCTTTGGTAGTCATTACGCTACTTTAAGTACCGTGATGCTGAGCTTTCACGGTAATACGACTATCGTAAAAGCTATTTTGGTCCAAAAGATGCCAAAACTGAAGAAAAAGGGTATGGGCGAGATTTACGAAAGTTTGAGGTTTTTTTCTAATTAGACAAAAATTAAAATATATTTCTAATAATTGCCCTAAAATCAATCAAACTTATGTATGTAAAGTGAAAGTAACAAAATGTTTGCATGTACTAAACAATATATATAAGCAAGCCCAATATTCGAACCTCACCCCAATTCACAGTTGTTGAAATCTTTAGTTGTGGTTGCAATACTATTTCTTCTTCTTTGTAACGATGCTCCTATTCTTCCTCTTTCTAATGAAGCTCCTGGTTTAGAAGAAAATAATATTCTTCTAATTTTACCTATTAATTTGACATGTATGGTTGTTTTGGTATAATATCCAGTTTGGGAATACATTGATAGCGTATTTTTCTTTAATACTACTTTTCAAAGAATGTGTTGGAAACTTTTTTATAGATTTTTTTTTATCAAATCATGGTTTTTAATCTTATCCCACTTGTAATATGCTTATTTCACAACTGAAAATCAAATATATGAAAAATCAATGAAAAGGACGGAAATTTCAAGAATGCTATAAGGAAGAGCTTTTCTTATTTTTTTATTATTTTTGGACAAAAAGGAAAAATACACATTTATGTCAATTCCATAAAAAAAAAAGTGATTTTTTAAAGATCTTTTCCAAAATTCAAAATTTTAACAGGTTTCAAAAAACCTGAGATCTTTTGAAAGGAAAAAGTTTATATAAAGATGCTACCTTATAATGTAGAACTACAGATGTCCCTCAAAAATCCATCAAAAAAGGTAGTTTTAATGTTGAAAAACCCTTTGATTGGTCATCTTAATATCGTGATATATGACTATGAAAAATAAAAAGATTTTAAGTCTAAAAAATAGTGCATTTTACAACATATTATCTACACCGTCCATTTTTAAGATTTTCATATGTTTATAGATCTACTTGATTTTAGTCTTTTTTAAAATTTTTAATTTTATAATTAGATATAAAAATAGATTTTGAGATAATCCTAAAAACATTTTGCATCAAAATCATATACCATGATAAAATTTGAAGGTGGACCTTACCTCTACACGTACGGATTGCATCCGTATGCAAACTGCACCCCTTTTGAAAACCTTTGTTTTAATTAGATAATTGTTCTGACTATAGGTCTACCTTATGTCGCTTCCCTAATACGTACTCAGCCTAATCTGTGCTTTTTTTTTTGGGAAAAGTTTATATAGAGCTAAGGCTCTAAAGAATCAAATTTAAGCCTACATCAAAATTTTCATTAGAAGAGACTGTTTTGATGCCCAAATATCTTCAAATAGATCATCTCGACATCAAGATGCATAGACACCAGAAAACAATGGGTTCCAAGTTTTGAAAATAGTAGATTTTGTAATGCATTTTTGGGCTGTCAATATTTAAGACTTTCAAGTTTTTATAGATATGTCGATCTACACTATTTTTGAAGCTTTAAATTTTATAAATAAATATAAAAATAGATCTTAAGGCTATTACAAAGATTTCCAATATTGAAACCATATTTCTCGACACTATTTAAAAGTAGGCTCTAATTTGATTGTTTAGAGCCTAGGCTCTATACAAACCTCACCCTTTTTTTTGGCTTATGGATAGAAGCTTTTAGGGTTCAATAGGGTTTAAGACTATGTAGTCGACTAGCATTTTTAGCTCCGTAGTCGTGAACATTCGTGTGAGAGCCATCTTATAATTACAATAATAAAACTATTAATCCTCTTTGCCCGCAGACACATCAATGATTTTAATTTTAGATGTTATTTTTCTTGTGCTGCTTTATTAGTTTTTGACATTGTTGACCCAGTCTGCTAGAGTATGTTCCAAATACCCCCCGTCCCCTAAGCAGCAGATTCAAATGAAAGAAAATTTGTCAACAAAACAGAAGAGGCAAGTTAAGTGACCATATATATTTTCCATGCTCTAAACGTACATGGTGTTAAGCTTGCCCATTAGTTGGAAATCGAGAGTCACCATCCTTAAATAACAAGCATACCCTATCCTGCCTATATTATTCATTATGATATTCCTGACCTGTAAATTACATTTCAGGATAAAGTGTGTAAAGAATTTTCCATCAGTTTTGAATAGATACAACAACCAAGAAGTCAAGACCAACTTGATTCAGTTTCCTAGTAATTGATACATGGAAAAAGTAGATATCACGTAGCATGGAAAAAAGGAGTATTGCTCTGGACTTCGCAGGGCTCTGTACTTGTAAGATGTGGAACTCTTTCTCCCTTTGTCTTCCTTCACCTTTATACAACAAAATGGCAAAGGGGAGATGGGGCGGGCATGGGTGCGTGAGTGAGTGAGAGAGAGAGAGAGAGAGAGGGGAGAGGTTATTCACTCAAAATGACATCTCCAGTTGCTCATAGTCAGGCATCTTGAAAGCAATTCCGGATTCATCACTCGATCGTCTCTTATTCATACTCGCCCTTTGCATCAAGCGGACCAAAGCTTGAACAACTTCAGACATTGGTGGTCGAAACTCTGGCTCAGGCTGTCATAAGTCGAGAGGCTCTTTGTTAAACATATTCACGACACTAATGAAGTCCGCGTGTGGCTTCAAAAGTCCCCAATAAAAGCGCCTAACTTATATTTTCTTTGGTGGCAGTGTTTTATATATATGGTATTACGGATGGAAGCATAACTTCAATGTCCAGCTGATGATACAAAGTTGACAGACCCTTAACCAGTCTCTATGCAAACCTTTGAAGAAATGCACCAGAAATCATTGCCTTCTTAAACTAGATTGATGCATGTAAACCAAATACTTATATGAATTCATCAGAATAGCTTGGTTAATTAATAAAGAGGATTAACCCAGCCACAAGCTTAGTTCCAACCAATACTTCAAACATGCCACATCCAAGTATGAATCCATAAAAGAAGAATAAAAAGGAGAACAGATTGTCAAGAGTTTACCTGAACACACAAAGCAATGATATCAGCAAAACGTGAAAGAGACTTGGCAGGATATATGCCCTTGAGCGCAGGATCAACCATTTTTGCCAAGGCATCAATATCATGCAGCTGAGGGGTAGCCCATCTCACAAGAGACTGCTCTGATCTTTGTCTTGAACTTCATGACCAACAAGGAGAACAGATGGATAAAATAAGAGAAATGCCATATGAGTCTAGTGACTGAATGAACAACCCAAATCCATAAACATATAAACACTACCCCCATGACAAATATGTTGTTAAGAAGTAAAACCTGTCTAGTGGCTTCCGGCCCGTCAAGAGCTCCAACATGACTACCCCAAAGCTGTAAACATCACTCTTGACAGTGTAAATTCCTGACATAGCAAATTCAGGAGCACTATACCCAAATGATCCCAGCATCTGAGTTGATACCTGTTTCAGAAACAATGAGTCTAATTCTGCTCCACATGAGAAACACAAACATAAAAAGATTAGGTTTGCATACTATGTTAGTGTCTTGGTTTCCTATGGTTGCCAGGACCTTCCCAAGTCCCAACCATCTGATGTCAACAACGGATGGTTAGGTGTGTCATTCCCAAGCTCAACCATGTCAAAACTTTTGACAGATTTTGAGCTGGGAATTGGGGTAGTTGCAGCAAAACATAGGTAACCGAGATGATAGCATAGAATACCATCCCAAGTACTTCATCTACATTAGGGACCATCAATACCTGTCGCTCCGTGTTAGGTGTCAATGCAGCCAGTCCACAGTCTGACAGATGGGGGTTAAGCTCTTCATCAAGTAAAATATTCGCTGACTTGAAGTTTCTATGTACAACAGAAGGCAAGCACACTTCATGCAAATACCTGAACAATTACAATTTAGCACATGAGAAAAAAAACTTCAATGCCATTGGTAAGAAACCCATGTGCACATTTATAATGCAAGAGGACAAAGTCTCACTCGAGAGCCCTAGCAGTGCCAAGAGCAATCCGTACACGTGCATTCCATGTCAACGCCTTGCTGTTATCATCGGTAAAGTGGAGCATATCATGAAGAGTTCCATTTCCAAAATACTCGTAAACCAAGAGGTGCTGGCCATGCTCTGCACAATAACCTAGAAGTGTGGTGATGTTTGGATGCCGTAGGCGTGACATATTTGAAACTGCTTCAAGGAAATTATCTTCCTCCTGAAGAGATAGGGCCGAGCTATCGATCTTCTTGACAGCCAAAATCTAGAAGAAAGAAAAAGTAGCACAATGTTGGTTGGTTGCAAAATCGTATAATTGAAGCAATTATCACAAGAATTAGGGCTTAAGCTTGCTGGTTAAGGTGCTACGTCCCAAGCTAAATTCCTACTGCTGAAGCAAGAATCACAACAATTGAAGCGAATAAAAATAAATAGCATTCTCAACTAAATCAGCTCACATGCCAGTGAGTTGTCGTCCGTTAAAATCATATTGACATTCCAGTAAGAGACAAAATAAAGAAGTAAAACGTCAACTTGTGTCTATCTCATTATATGACTTCCAAATATCTGATAAATTCATAAGAAAGTCAACAAATAGTCTTTAAATCATACTAATAAACACAGAAGGTGCTTGTGGACTGCTAATCATCATACTACAAAAAAATAGAAGGCATGAATAAAGTTATCAAACAAAATAGAGTCCAAAAATAACAGAAGTCCTAGGTCATAAATGATTGAGTCTTGGGAAGATTACAGTTTGCAACATCCATTGGAGGCAAATCGCAATAGCATCTGAGGAATAGCGAAGGATGAGAATAGGGAGCTTAAATTATACATGATGAGGATCAGGCCGCTCCAATAACTAAACATTCAAATTTGGAACTTGTGCTATTGCCATACAGATTATATTATTTACTTGTTAACTGAAATTAGATGTGGTTTGACCATCTTTAACCATGGATTTATTCCATAAGTATCTGTTTCTTAAGACATTGTGGAATTGATTATCCCATACTTGGTGACATACATATATATTTTTAATTAAAATATATGGTTAAATATATTGATATTGATGGTTGAACTCAACGGATTGTAATATTATCAGATTAGCAAATGCAATATTTTTAATATTGAAACCACAGGTTTCAGTTATAATAAACAGATAAACTGTGGTTATAGTAGACTAAAAAAATGAGTATATCTTTCCTGAGAATTTCCACATCTTTAAAAATTTTCCTTTTATTAGGTTCCCTTCATATATCTAGCTACAGAATTCATGTACGGAGTAGGGTAACTGAGGATTTTGACATTTGGAATCAACCGTCTTACATAAAACTCATGCCTCAACAGTTCTCAATCAAATCCAAATCATAATTAGAAATATGGGAATGTGGTACGTAGATGCCGCTAAAGGATTTAACTTTCAAACCAATTGAGTATATTTATATCAGTTTCAAATTTTAAATAAAGTGCATGTCCGAAACAGTAGTAAGCATGAATGCGAGAGGCATAAGCACCTTGCCATTGGAAAAATCTGCCCTATATACACGTCCAAGGGAGCCCTCCCCCACAAGACATTCCTGGCTAAAACTATTTGTGGCTGTTTGAAGTTCTGCAACTGCATATGAAGTAGCAGTTATAGGGGCTTTTGTTCTCTTTCCAGCACCAGGTTTTCCAGATGTTCTATCACTCGCAATTTTTTGCCATTCCACTGGCGGAGGCTTCAGATCAGTTATGGGTGCAGCTTTGGACTTCTGTTCTTGGCTCTCTACACTTGCTGCTATGATAACAACATATAAAGACATAGTGCAGATGTTATATTATCATGTTTCAAGTTCAGAAAATTGAACATAAGATCATGAGACGACCATTATTCCAAGAATAATGTAATCCACGTGAAATCCAAATAATAGACATCACAGATTTCATATGGATTAACTCGCATGTAATTATGTTAATTAAGATGGTTTAAGGATAGCAATATTATGCACACAAATGTAAACATTTAATATACACGAGTAATGGCGCTAGGGTAAGATTTCACAACCATTGTATGAATTTGTGGATCTCTAGCTTGTGTTAATCAACTCCCAAAGGTTCGCAATGGATATCCTCATAGATACATAATGCTTGACATGTGCTCGGTAATATAAATATTCGGTATGAAGAATCAGAAAAGAACAAGAGTACAACACTATGTTAAAAGGCCTAGCTGTAAACAGCGATTGTAACCACGAAAACCCGCTGATTTCAAATGAATATCAGGGTAAATGAGAAGAACTGGAGGCAAATACAGCTCCAGTTTTTTACAGTAATTCTTTTAGACATCATTCTGCCTGTGTCACTCTTACCTCTGTTATGAGCCATCTGCATTCAAATTAGTTCTTATATATGAATGATAAAAGAATAAGTGAGTAAACAGAAATTGACACCACACTTGAGACAATAAATCATCCAACTAGTGAGTAATTATTGAGAAATAAACAACATATCGTACCAGTGTGTCATTTATAGGATATAAACAGGAGAATAAAGTATTCCATTTGCTCGAGAAATATAAGATTAGTTTAGTAGCCAAAAGTTATATTCAGAGTTTGGATTGCATTATGAGGAGATTGTTTAGTCTACAAGACAAAGAAAGCATGGACTCATATACGCACCTTCAGCTTAATTTAAAGCCCGATGGATGAACACATGGGGGCCTTGGTAATATGGCACAAAATCGTCAATGTTTTTCAAGCATATGGGGAGTCAGGTTGTTATACTTTTCACTTACGGTGATTTTATAACAACACGAAGTGATGCCTCAACCATACCCATCCTACGCAAATTTACAGTAGTAGACCCTGTAAGGAATAAGGACACTCTATTGTAGTTTCCAAGATTTTAAACTATTTGCAAATCTAGAGGTATCACTGTAACATGATACACTTATATGCAATATCTTATATCCCAACCCCAAAAAGCACAAGATAGCTAGTACATATGTTAAGCACTCAGGATATGACCAGGATCTATATCATCAGCTTTACCTGAAACGATTCGGAAACTGAATCGATTTAGGCTTTGGAAGTGTGAAATCGCCGCCAGCTGGAAGATTCCTGTTTTTGGAATCGACATCCATACAAAAGGAATCATAGGCGACAAGATTTCTATTTTTAGGAATTAAGATTCAACCAAAATAGAATCGAGATCCCTATCTAGATGGAATCGAGATTCCTAACTCTTTGAATTCATCTTTTCGACTTAGTTGGAATCGATCAATATGGAATCGAGATTCCTTCATTTATGGAATCAAGATTCCAACATCTTTGGAATCGAGAGGGAATAGAGAGGGAAACAAGACATGTCTCAATGTCATTCATTGACCGACATGTCATATATGCATGTTTACATTATTTACAAATTACATTATTTCTAACATCTTGGAGTTGCAATTTCTCCACTGGATCAATACAATGCATACTTCAAGAATTAAGTAGAGAACAAGGACCACCACTTCCATTGGTCATTTCATGTCAAAAATGATGACTACACCTTGTAGCTTGAGATTGAGTGTCTATCTCGAGTAGTTTGATGCCTGAGAAACTTCTAAACATCACTTCTCAAGAAAAGCAAAAAGAAAAAAAAAGGGAAGAGGTAGAAATCTGATAAATGTGGAAACCAGTTTCAACAAGTGTAGAATTGAGATTCACCAATTGCGAAATCAAGAATCAGTGAATCGGTTCCGTGAAGATTCCCAATATAGGAATTAAGATTCTGAACTTCAAGGAAATAGGTTCCGTGAAGATTCCTAGTCGGAATCACTTAATCGAAGTTCTGAATCGGAATCGCGACCTTCAATGAGAGATTCGGGTAATTATGAAATGAACACATATCACTAGGGGCCATAAAGGCATGAATGCCACTTTCATTACTATAGTTCCCAAAACTGAAGGCGTCGTAAAGATTAAAGACTTTCGCCTTATCAGCCCACTGAATAGTTCTTACAAGATCTTCACCAAGGTCCTTGGGTTGCATTTGTCTGATGTATGTCCTAGACTTAGTTATTTCCCCAAATCAAAGTGCTTTTTCAACAATAGACAAATACTTGGAAGTGATTTTATTAAATGTGAAGCATCCATTCAGACACCATGCTAAACAGCATGGTGGTTGTCTCTTCTGCGAATTTCTTGATAATCATTAACAGCCTTTTTATAAGTCACATGTGTCATTTTAGTACTTTTTCCTTTGTTTAAGCGTCTAGATTGAAAGATGGGGATTTAAATCTAAGGGCTGATATTGGCCCCTGCAATGGGTTTTGGGAGAGACAAATATAAGCTTATGCAAGGCTGATCTAGCCACCTTTTTACTTGAATTTAAATAGAACACAGCAAGACAAAGGGACAGTCCAGCACTCCCTCTCCATTTTCTTTGGGGACATGATCTCTAAGATGGATCTCCAACCCTGCTTCATGTGTTTCGACCTAACCTTACCTCTCCACCTGCTTTCTTCCTCCTCATACATGCAGATCCAAATTGATTGTGCTACTATAAGACCATTTATCATTGTTACAACGAGGTCATAATTACTCCTAGCCATTAGATGTCGAATAAGATGGCTTAGGGTTTATCACGAAGTTCAAGAAAAAAGTTTTTGAACTTTGAGTCTTGTCAATGACACTCTTACAACTACCGGATTTGAAATCTGAATAACAAGAGTATTTGTGACCTTCTTGTACCAAAAGTAAATGGTCTCTTTGTATACTTTTCCCCATATATTGGCGGAACAAGATTTGTATAGCTGACCCCAAATAGTTGGAATAAGGCTAGGATGATATTGTGTGTGTGTGTGTGTATGTATATATATATATATGTATATATATATATATATATATATAGGAAAACGCTATTGTCAACCCATGGGCTAATGGAATAGTGTAAGCCCAATAGCCCAGATTGAATCTGGGTCAATGCAATGATCACGATTAAATTTTGCAATTTGATTTTAATTCTATCTACAAATCCAAATCACTTGAAATTTGGAGCATCTATTTTTTAAAAATAGTAGAATCTAATAAAAATATCAAAAAAATAATTTGCAAAAAATAAATTGACCAAATTTGTTCAATTCATTTTTTGCAAATTATGCTTTTAATATTTCATTAGGTGCACCTTGATGAGAAGAGTGAACACCCCACATTCATGTTATTTGGATTTATATAAAAATATTAAAATTATATTACAATATGCAGCCGTGATCGTCAGATCGGCCCAAATTCAATCTAGCCTGTTGGGCTTACACAATTCCATCAATTAGTTGGCTGACCTTAGCTTTTTCCATATATATATATATATATATATATATTTCAACTATTTGGTGTCAGCTATACAAATCATGATCGGCCATTCTGCTCTATCAAGGGTCATACCTTCAATCAAATCATAAGTTACCATATCGCTTCCCACTACTTCTATGTCCTTTTACGCCTTCCGCTCACCCTTTTAGAGCCTTCCACTTGAACCAAAATACCCCTCCTAACTAGTGTTCATTAGGTCCAAGCTGCACACGGACAACCCACCTAAATCCATTTTCCCTCATCTTATCGCTTATTGAAGCCACCCTAAATTCCCTCATATGCATTCATTCTGAATTCTATCATTTCTTGTCTTGTCACTTATCCATCTCAACATCCTCTTAGCTACACTCATCCTATAGTTATTTTGTTTCTTGATTGCCCAACATTTTGTCCCATAAAGCATGGCTGGTCTTACTGTGTATAGCTGAATTTGGGCCTGATCTAACTCTAGATCTAGCGCAAACTCATTGTACATGTAGTTATTTTAAGAGAGAATTGCCTAGTCGAATCCAAACCAAATGTGGTTAGATCTCGCCAAAGAGATCAAACCCTCTATGGATCGTCGGCAGCGCCAAATGTGAACTCATCAAAATAATAGGATATAGATGGAGGAAGCAGAAAATAAAGGAAATCAAAGGAAAATACTGCAAAATCAACAATAAATAGGAAAATAGAGAGAACTTATGAACGGCCACGCCGTGAAGAAGGAGCCTTGATCAAAGCTTCTTTTGATGACTGATTCTCCCTTTTCTACTGAGATGATTGATTATTATTGATTTTGGATGATTTAGATTAAAAGGCTCCTGAGGATCTAGGGTTTATGGTATTGGAGATAGATGAAATGGAGGCCTTTCTTCAATTGAGTAAGGTATCATGGCTGGAACTAGGGTTTTTAGGCTAAGGCTTGAGGATTTTCAAACTAAGGGATCTAGGGTTTCTGAGAAGATGACTTGCCTCTCCCCCTCACCTTTTGAGAGTAAAAAATGAGAACTTAAATAGAAAAATGTGCATAAGAAATAGAAAGGCAGTGATTGACAACCAATCAGAGGCCGACAACTGGCCACACCGCACCCTGGGATGCAATGTTGGTTCTTCTGCGCCATATTGGTTGGCGCAGTCTACTAACCGACTCTAGTTAACGGCATTTTCTCAGAATTTCGACTTATGTGATATTTTCGTACTATTTGTAATCAACATTGCTTGGTTTGCTAATTTTCTTAATTAATTTCTCACTTATTTCCTTTTCATAAACATGCATATTTTGGGATTTGGGTTTCCTAAGGTTGGATTTTATGGGATTTAGGCTTATTCTGGATTTACCCTAGGCACGATTATAGTTTAGGTATGACTACGGTTCACTATAAGCTATGGTTTATTAGGTTCGTGTGGTCCTTAGCGGTTAAATGGATAATCTAATGCTTATCCTATGGTCTTCAAGGGT